TTGTTAATGTTATTTTAGCTAAAATATAAAATATTGTATAATTAAATGAGACTGACACGGAAACCACTCCAACTGTCCGATCGCTTTTTTTACGAAACCTAGTGGACAATAGGTAATCGAGTGTGCTGAATCGGAATATCATAGTGGTTTGGGCGTCAAGGCCTTCAGAGACCGATTTTCTGAAACACCAGTTTTTCTGAAACTCTAAAAAATAATCAAAACCTTTCTTAATAATGCATGATTGTAGCCCGCACATTTCTGGTTAAAATGGGACATCTCCCATCTCTACACGACCTTTCTTTGCAAAGTTGGAGAATTTACAAGAAAAGCGCTAAATTAATTTCTTCTTATTTCTGTAGCTTTGAACCGACAATGAACGTTTGGGGCTGCCCTTGTAAATTCTATAAATTTAGAAAGAAAGGTCGTGTAGAGCTGGGAGATGTCTCATTTTAATCAAAAATGTGCAGGCTACAATCATGCCTTATTAAGAAAGGTTTTGATTATTTTTAGAGTTTCTGAAAAATTGGTGTTTTCGAAAACCGGTCTTCGGAGGCCTAGACGCCCAAACCACTATGATATTCGGATTCAGCACACTCGATTACCTATTTTCCACTAGGTTTCGTGGAAAAAGTGATCGGACAGTTGTAGTGGTTTCCTCGTGAGTGAATTTATAAAACTACATAATGCTTTGTCAATTACCATCAACAAACGGCAATGAAAATGTACTTTGTGATACCAGAACAAATGGTTGATCAACTGAATACCAATAGAGTCCGGCAAGTTCACCTTCAGATTGAATTTCTGGCGCTGCACCACAGGAACGACCACGACCATAACAACTACAACCACCCCTGTTTGAGGTAGAATATGTTTCTAATGTATTTAATTTCACATCACCACCAAACAATTCAGTATGTTTAATTTTATAATCACGTTTTGTCGAATTTGTCATATCAGCCCACGCTTCAAACGTATGTTGATCATTTGTCACTTTTAAATTATAATGAGGTGACCAGGTTATACCTAAACAAAACAAACTTAAAAATTTGATACTATACTCTCAGTATGACCACAATATAATTACCCTGGATGAGATAAGATAATGTTGATTCGCCGGCATTTTTCAATGCAAATGTCACTTCAGTACCTTCTTCTTCCGGAATTGTTACATATTCTTAAAAAACAACAAAAAACCATTAACTTGTTATTCTATATAAATTCAACAATCTTTTATACCTAATTCATGCTGATCGGCTTTTAAATATCGATTGGATTTAATATCTTTCAAAAGTAAATCATTTGACCGAATAACTTGACATTCAATAGGTTCTTCTCTTGGTCGGCGAACAAATACTGTTTGACCTTCTAAATTGTTAGCTTTTGTCACCGCATTTTGAGTCGATACTTGAATACCTTCAACATTGAGACTACCCGTGACTATCTGTTGATAAACTTCAAGAGGAAAATACATTTTAAAATTCTAAAAATTTATAAAAATGGAAAAGAACAAGTTTGTAAACAATTCAAACAACTTACTTGTGGTGCATCGAATTTTTCTCTAATTTCTGTAAATGATGGATATATTCTTAACTCTGTAAAACTTGGAAAAATTTTATCTTTATCTTTATTTTCAGTCACCATGGTTTTTTATCAAAAGCGTAACTGATTAATACAAAAAAATTAATCTAAACGTTAAATCTGAAATAAAGCACAAATTACAATGTCATATTCTCGCGTTGAACTATCAACTACTAATAATAGATGAAGAGTTTATGATAGATCAATTCTAAATACAATTACAAACACTATGTTTAAATAGCTCTTCTTGAACTAATATTATATTCAAACTGTGTAATTGTTTCATAAATTTAATGAATTCAAATTTCTTACCACAAATAGATTTTGCTCAAAGATTTAGATCTTATTTAAGGTGGTGACTACAATACTTGTTAAGCAGTTTATTTTGAAAATCATTTTCAAAAAATATCTCTGTAGAATGAGATAACCTAAATAAAATTTGATGTTTGAGACAACTATGCCCTATTTCTGATCATATATGCAGAGTAAAATGAATAATTTAGCCAATTTGTTAAGACGTTTTTCCTTTTCTTTTCTTAATGTTGTGGAAATATAAAACATGCAGAGTAAGAAAACTAAACTAAATAAAAACTTTAACTTCAGAACTTCAGTCAAGAAAACTATGCAAATTAGATGAAAGGCGAAAAAACTGAAAACTTTGTGAATTTCATATTTTTTTCAACTTCAACTTTTTTCTTCTGTTCGTATCCCCGTAAAGAAGTATAGCAAAAATCAAAACACAGTTCTTTTTGTACTTTTGAATCTGCTCTTCTCGTGGTCTGTAAAAATTTTTTTTAGAGCAGATGGTGTGCTGGAGAACGAAGTTTCAAAAATATGTCAGAAATTGATAATGCCTCGTGCTCAACAATGTGCGCAAGCAAGAAATGGAAAATATGAGTTTTGATTTTACAGTTAAATAGAAGAGCAATCATTTCTGATCAAAACAAAACAAATCTGATTGAAAAAGCTTTTGTTTTGGTGTAGTTATGGGCCCTTTACTGGAAGCATCAGTATACCCAGCATTTAAAAAATTAATGAAAAAATGCGTGACAACCGATAGAAAAATGATGTCTCCATGGGTTTTAATGTGAAAAATGTGAAGTGTAGCTAAAATTTAGATTGAAGCCAGGACTACATAATGGCTGCTTCAGGCTTTCTTACTTTCAAAACATTAACACAAGAAATCGTTTTTGAGGTTAGAAAATTTTCATTTTTTCGCCTTTCATCTAATTTGCGTAGTTTTCTTGATTGAAGGTCTGAAATTAAAGTTTAGGTATGGTTTTGTATAGTATTTTGCAGTGCATCTTTTATAACAAACACTAACCTTAGGTCCTAAAAAAACACAAGAAAAATAGCAAATACTGAGCGGTCCATTCATTATGACGCATCCGATATATAATTACTCTGCTGTCACAATATCAACCAAAATTGTCCTAATTCAAGATAATCGAGCTGATCCAGCAAAATATCCTCTCTCTATCCGTGTATTTTAATCTATTAATGAGAGAGAGTGGCTTCAGAGTTCACTGCATTGTGAATGTGGCTTATTAATAATATAATTAATGTCAATCACAAATTACGTCACAACAAGGCTATATATTTTTTCTCAGAATTTAATCATCTAAACATTACTAAGAGGAAAATATTGGTACACTATAGTCTAACTGATTTCACGCAGAATGTTCATTTCTGTACAACTTCGTCCACTACTACATGACCTAAGAGCCCAGAAGATACCATCGTGCTCATTGTCTAAAACATCAAGATTTACGCAATATTTTCATGAATGCTTCCTTGAAGCATACATCGAACTTCGTTTGCACAAAGAAACCCTCTTGACTCGTACATGCATACAGAAAGTCTTTTTGGAAAGGATCTTTTTTTGCAACAGAACGTTAGGCTCGCTCTACAAAGGTGCCGACAAAAATAAAAAACAAGTTTTTTTCGGAAAACGCGCTGTTTTTACGAACCTTTGCGAGCTATAATAACCCAGAAAATTATTTTGGAAGTCTTCTATTTTTGCATAGGTTTGTGTTCCCTGATGTCCTCTTTCGATTGTCGAAAATCTCAGGTCGATAGCTCTTTTCATTAAAAGGTTATAAGCGTTTTGCTGAGTAGCCTTTTTTTAAAAATCCGATAATAGTCGCGCGAAAGTATCTCGAAAAAAACTTCGAATAAATTCTGTTCTTTACGGACCTTGAGTTTTCAATTTTTTCGCATAAATTGATCACTGCTTGAAAATGCAGATATAATAATTTGACCGGATTGATTATTAGAGAGCACGGAACCTCGAGTTGGCGAAGTCAAGTTAAAGCACTCGTTGTACAAATTTGTAAAAAACACCGTATGAAGCTTTCCGTTATTCTTTACCATTTATATCGCTGCTGCATAAATTAACCTCTACTTACTAAAGGTTTCACTTGTTTTTTTCTTACTGATTTATTACTTATCAAAATATATCGATATTATTAAATATTCAAATAACACTTTCTTGTTCTATTTCTGTTTCACAAGACTTCTGTTATCGCATGGGACATATGTGACTTTTCTTTTCTGTAAATTTTCCTACTTGCATTGCGTTTAGCTATTTTTTTATTCACTGATAAAAACTTTTACGACAAATAATGTACCAATGTATGAAAATGTGTCATAAATGTTATATAATTTCATGAGTTTTTGTTTGTTATATAACGTTTGTGGCACGGCACATTTTCACACATTCGTATATTATTTGGCGTAAAATTTTTAAGAGTGTTTGCATAATCGATCTTTATGGTACGGTACAATCCCAATACATTGTTAATTATGATTAAAATTAATTTCACTTAAAGTTAATCGTCATTAACAGTTTTGTAGCGTGATCGCAACTTTTTCCAATGGTAAATAGTCCTCCTTCAATCGTCGTTAGGAGTATAGTGTGATCACTCTATAATCACAAATTTAAAAGAACAGAAAATAAATATATAAATTATTTCAAAATCAGTTCATTTTTTGTCCATAGAGTAGAACTGATTACTCTATTGAACGTTATTGAATACAGAAAAGTAGTTATGACTACTAAAATAAAATAATCCAAAACATCGTTATTCAATTTTTGTGATGTTTTTCGTAATAGTGAATTGTTTAATGAAAGCCAAGAAATCTATTTATCAACATTGATGCTCAATGACGATATGAATTTGTTTTTTATACATCAATTTAATCACGATTAGCACGACCATATTGCAAATCAATCGTGATTAGCTTAGGCTTGATTAATGCTGAAGTGAGATTGTAGTAAGGTAACTATTAAAATACCTCAGTCGATGCTTTCTGATATCGATCACGATAACATAAAACATTTTTTGTCCAGATAGAAACACAAATAAGATAAAATATTGTACAGTAATAATCGCCGGCGAGTAACTTTTACCGCTGTTTTGATCATCAAACAGTATGAGTCCACTTTACAATAATCACAAACATACACAAAATGAAAGAAAGTTTCATCGAAACTTAAATAATCCTGGAAAGAAATCTAGTCGACAAGAACAATTAGAAGTATAGAATCTATCCTTATTTCTTGTTGTAGCTTTCAGCATCATAAACACAAACAAAAAATTCTAGTTGAAAAACTAAATCTGAGATTTACAAAAGTGTATCGGTTTTTCGAGGAGAAACATTGTTTTATTAAATTAGACTTGCTTTGAATGTATTTGGACTGCTTTATTTTTACATTGATGGTTTCTATACTTAACAAAGATTCTATCACAGAAAACTATCTGCTATATGTTACTATCCGTTTCAAAATACAAGAGCAGTGAATAGTTTTTGAATAACTTTTGATAGAAAGCAGCTAGAGAGCTTCAGTTTTCATCATGCAAAAGAGAAGACGTGGAGGCATGTTTCCATAAGCACAAATATTTTCAGAAGAGTTTTCTGAAACAGACTTTTTAGGAGATCTTTGGAAAACGAGGTCGTGTGTAAAAATTTTCCAAAAAATAGGATTATGTAGATTTTTTTCATTGGATTGGTGTTAGCTCGGGATGTGTTCTTGAAAATGGGAGTTAAGCGAGACGTAGATTTTCTACGACTCTGGCATTGTGCCGACTTTCCTACGAGTCCCAGAACTGGCATCTGGTGACTATTGGTAGCCTTAAAAGTCAATGGACTATAGGTAATCGATCATACTGAGTCTCGTGGCAATATTTGCTTTTACAAAAAGTTCTAAAAATCTAGCGAAAAAGGGAGTTTTACGAAAATTGTGGTTTTCAGACTGTTTTTACCTAATATTACAACATTCACTATTCACTCAAAATTGAAT